GCTAGAAACAGCAGAGTACACATTCTTTTCAAGTGTACGTGTTACAAACTCCAAAATAGAGCATATTATGGAACATTAAACAAACCTCAACAAATTTAAAAGAATTGAAACTATACAAAATATGCCCTCAGACCATAACAGCATTAAACCAATAACAGAAAAATATCTTGAAAATTGCCAAACATTTAGAAATTAAGAATAAACTTTGAAAATGTGTGAGGAGCTTGATCGATCCTCCCTCTAGAGAAATAATTATTTAATTGGTGAAAATTATTTTTCTATAAACAACTATTTAAAATTTCTGGAAATTGTCCTAAGGGCATACCAAAAAAAAAAAAATTGAGAAATATGCATTCAAGGAAATCTACCAAACTTCAGTTAAAACAGCAAGCGTCTGTGGCATTTGAGCCATGACCTGCTCCCACCCCTCATACTCAGCTCCATATTACAGAGCACTACTCTAGGCAAGTGTGATCAAGAAGATGGGGATCTCCTCTTCCCACAGCCCCCAGTCCAATACTATGGATTAACCCCAGGAGGGACAGGCTGCTAGTGTCTCCCATTCTCTCAAAGTCTATTTGCAGAAGCTCTATTCCATAAGGCATGACCAAGAGGATTGAGCTCTTTCCCTCACTCTTCCACCCCAAACTGTGAAAGCAGTCTCCAAGACATACACACATCCAATGGTAAAGAGTGAAAATAAAACTGACTAAGGCGACTTAAGAAAACAATTGACCAATGACTGGCTTATGCAGAATCAGGCGAGAACCCTCAGAAGCCAAGCTAAAATATAAAAATAAAGGGGAAAAACTCTGAGCAGGGATATCAGAGGCTTCAAACTGAAGAGGAAATAGACTTCACAGAATTCTCTCAGCCAAGTCACTAAACAAACAAATGACCAAACAAACAACAGCAACACAAGCCCCATGGAAAGGGGGGTGGGAATCAGTGTCTAGAGTTGCTACAATATATTATCTAAAATATCCACTTTTCAACAAAAAATTATGGGACATGCAAAGAAATAACAATTTTGACCAATGCACAAGGAAAAAAAAAAAAGCTGGTAATAGAAGAACAAAGTAGGAACCCTCACACACCCCAATTTCAAAACATACTGTAAAGCAACAGTAATCAACACAACGTATTATTGGTATAAGGATAGACATATAGACCAATGGAAGAGAATTGAGAGTCCATAAATAAATCCATGCATCTATGACCAATTGATTTTCAATAATGGTGCCAAGTCCATTCAATGGGAAAAGAATAGTCTCTTCAACAAATGGTGCTGGGACAACTGGATCACCCTGTGCAAAAGAATGAAGTTAGACCCATACCCCACACCATATACAAAAATCAACTCAAAATGTAGCAATGACCTAAATCTAAGAACTAAAACCATAAAACTCTTAGAAGAAAACAGCGGTAAAACTTCAAGACCTTGTTTCTGAAAATAGATTCTTACCTCTAACACCAAAAGCATAAGCAACAAAAGAAAAAACAGGTAAATTGACCTTTATCAAAATTAAAAAGTTTGTACATCAAAAGACTTTATCATGAAATTGAAGAGACAACCTAGAGAGTGAAAAAAATATTTGATAACCATATATCTGATAAGGATTGAATATACAAAGAACTCCTACAACTCAACAGCAAAAAGACAAACAACCCAATTTTTAAAATGAGCAAAGAAGTTGAACAAACATTTCTCCAAAGAAGATATCCAAATGACCAATAAGCACATGAGAAGATGTTCAACATCATTAGTCATTAGGAAAATGCAAATCAAAATCACAATGAGATACCACTTCACACCCATTAGGATGAGTATTATCAGAAAAATGGAAAATAAGAAGTGTTGGCAAGGATGTGGAAAAATTGGAACCCTCATCCATTGCAGGTGGGAATGTAAAATGAAGCAGTCACTGTATAAAACAGTTTGGCAGTTCCTCAAAAAGTTAAACATAGAATTACTATATGACCCAACAATTCCACTCCTAGGTATACACCCAAAAGAACTGAAAGCAAAGACTCAAACAAACACTTGTACACCAGTGTTCATGACAGCAATATTCACAATAGCAAAAAGATGGAAACAACCCAAGTGTCCATCAATAGATGAATGGATAAACAAAATGTGGTATATGCATACTATGAGATATTATTCAGCCATAAAGAGAAATTAAGTTCAGATACAT